CAGCTGTCGCCAACTGAGCCCTGAGGTCTGAGGTCTCTGCCAAGAGTGGCTGAAGACACAAGCCTGCTGAGATGGCAGGTCAGTGTGGAGGTGTGTGTGGAGCGACGGGATAGGATCTGGGTTTTAAAGGGCCCTGGCTACGGGTATTATCTATCTATTAGTTATCTGTGCTGCATGATACTTGAACCAACACTGAGGGGCTTAAAGCAACAAGCATCTATTGTCTCAGGGTTCCTGTGGGTCAGATGTCCCAGCATGATTTAGCTGGGTCTCCTGGCTCAAGGTCTCTCAGGAGGTGGTAGTCAAGGCACCAGCTGGGCGGCAGTCACCCCAAGGATCCACTTCCAAGCTGGCTCCATGGCTGCTGGCTGCCTGCAGAAGATGCATGTCCAAGTCTCTCCTGTAGTGGCTAGCCAGTTTGGCTTCCTCACCACCGGGGCCCCCACAGGCTGCCTGAGTGTGTTAACAGGGCAGCTGCTGAGGAGAGATGGAGAGAGCGAGCCCAAGGTGGAAAGCACAGTCTCCTCGTCACCTAATCTTGGAAGAGGCACCCCATCACTTTTGCCGCATTCTGTTCACTAGGAGGAAGTTGTGATGTCCAGCCCACATCCAAGATGGGGGCAACACCAGGCTGTGACTACTGGGGCATCACCGGGGACCATCTTAGAGACCGCCTGACTCACTGGGGGTGGGATCAGGGAAAGATGCCATCATAACTTTGTATTTGTTTATTTACTTGGCCGCACTGGTCTTACCTGCAGCATGTGAGATCTCGTTCCCTGACCAGGGATTGAACCCAGGCCCCCTGCATTGGAAGCATAGAGTCTTCGCCACATAACTTTTATAGCGTGAAAAGAGCCCAAACTCAGTGACCCTGGCTCAAGGGCTGGCTCCTCGGTATAGCCTTAGGCTGTCTGCCACTTAGCTACTTACAGCTCAGGTTTCCTCCTCTACCAGATGAGATAACATTCCAGCCCCGCTGACCTCACAAGTTGTGTTGTGGATCAAAAGACACACAGTCTTATGAATATACTTAAGAAAGCCTCCAAATATTACATACCAGTTGGTGTGACGATGGCATTATTATATTATTAAAGGGAGTCTTGGGTCAGCTGTGGTAAAAATCTACCCATAAAAAAATCCATCTATCAGGCACTCCCCTGGTGGTTCAGTGGCTAAGACTCCACACTCCCAATGTAGGGGCCAGGGTTTGATCCCTGGTTGAAGAACTAGATCCCACATACTCCGACTAAGGCCCAGCAAAACCAAATAAACCAAATAAAAATAATAAATATATATGCTCCACCCATAAGAAAATCCACTCACAGGAGTGCACCTTAGGGTACATTTACATAGGGCACAATATCATTCACTTGAAGTCATCCTTCCCACCTTGACTGAGTCCTCAACTGGCCTAGGCTAGGCAGCATGCATTTATTCATTCATTCATTCACAGAGGCCCTCATGTTCAAGGCCCTTCATCAGCTCCCTAATATGAACAATTCTGTGATGCAGACATTAGTAACCCCACAGACCCCCTAGAAGAAACAGGAGCTATTCTGAATCTTGAGGGCAAAGCTCAGACCCTGCATTTAGTAGGAGCCCTGAAAACGTGTCTGCTGAGTGAATCTTGCCGAAAGAGCCCCGGTAAGTGTAAAGAGAGGGGTTTGACCACAGTCCCAGTACTTCGAGGCTGTGTGACCAGAGGCAAGTTCCTGTCCCTCTCTGAACTTCAGGTCTCTTACCTACACAGTAGAGGTCAGAGCTTGCAAACTACTGGGTTAGAGGTCCCAGCTAAGGTGTAAATATGTTGTTTAGGGCTTAATCAGGGTTTAATTTTATTTTAAAATGAGTTGCCAATATTTAAGAGTTGGGATATTTCCACAAAACCCAAAGTTTTCAGTTTTTATTGAAAAATGAGATCTGACTACACTGGACCCATTGTATACATACAACAATTGACTAGCTGGAGCAGGAGCTACCCTTTAACTGTGCTGTTTGGACACTGTGCCTCCTCCACTTTCTCCCTGTAGCCTTGCCCAGCATGCTTCACCCTGAGGTGTCACTGCCTGGCCCTGACAGGTATCTGAGCTTGCAACCCCAGATGTCAGCATGATCTGACTGCTCTTTGGCTCTGTGAGGCCTAAAGATGGCTTTACAGGATCCCTGAGTGATGAAAACCATTAACACCCTGGATAAAAAGCCACTTGGGCTGAGCAGAGAGAAACTGCTGTTTCTGAGGATGACACAGAGTCTATAAATAGCCTTAGAGCCAGGTGAGTGGTGACACCTGCCCCATCTCACCTGGGTGGGGACTGGGCATGTTTCAGTCCATGGCTCAGTCCAGGGACATTCCCTGCTCCTGATGCCAACTGAGGTCAGCACAGGAAGAAATGATTTCACAGCTGAGCCTGTGGAGCAGGTGGAATTTTCTCTGGCTCAGGAAAGAGGCAGTGATGACGTTTGATTTTCCAAAGAGGATAGAAGGTGTAACACAGTGGGGATGAAGTATTGCACCATCCATGGTTTCCCAGTACTATTCAACAATGTGAGACCTCAGCCTGGCCTTCAGGATTCTCTGTGACCGCCATGCCTCATCCCCTGCCAGGCTTTCAACTCATGGTTAATACTGGAGCCTTTCCTTGAAGGTGGCCTGACCTCTCCCAGTTCTGGGCTGGCCTTGGCTCACTCCCCCTCTGGAATCTCCTCTCTGCATCTTCTTGTCTCTGTCCCTCAAATGCAGTTGTCTCCAGACTGACCCCCCAGACAGAAACCATCTTCCTTGTCCCCTGAGCTCCACAGCCCCCTGGATAACTCCTTAGTTTCTCTTTTGCTGTGTCATCTGTCAAGGCTAGTCTCTCTTGCCCTCCCCACTCTGTCCCAACTACCAGCTCCTTGATAATCACGACAAACTCAAACCCTGATTTCGGAGTCAGACTCCTTCCAGCTCTATACTTGGGTAACTCCCCAACTAACAGTTCGGGCCTTGCTTCCCCATCTATGCAATGGAACTGCTTCTCAGGCTGCACTGAGGGCTAGGCAAGGGCTTTGGAAAGTAAAGCAGTTACACAAATGAAGGCAGCTCTTCCCTGGTGCTGGGCTCTCATACTCCATTGCGACAGAGTCCCTGCTCTTGGAGGGACAATAGGGCACTAAGAATACACTTGGTTAGCTGAGAGTTATATGAGCACAGGGCCTGGAACTGACATGTAAGGTGATTCTTCTTTTTTTCTTTCGAATCTGCAGTATGCACTGATGTAGGGAAAGGATGTGGGAGATGTGCTGAGGGCCCACATAGGGCAGGGAGCAAGCCAGCTTCCTAAGCAAGCCTGTTCTACTTCAAAGTACAATCACAAAAAAGGAGAAGCTATTCCTCAGGACAGGGTGAGGCCCTGTCCTGGACTGGGACCTGGGGAGCATTGGGGCTCCAGGATGCAGCTGGAGTATCACTGAGTGACCAGGCTCCTCCTGGGACAGAAATAGAGAAGAGGACTGTGGACTTCCAGAAAAGGGCCAAGCCAGCATTCCCACGCAGCTAGGACCCTCTGCTCTGCCCTGATGAATTGCCTCAGGTCAGCATTTTGCTGCCTGACCTCTTCCCAGGAGTCAATTCATGGCCTGCAGCAGGTCAGTCTAGAGTTTAAGCTCATTTGACTTCAAGGCCCAAATCCCACCCTCTTCTCTGGCCACTCAGACCCCTGAGCCCCTGCAGCTGAGGCCCACCACTGTCTGAGCAAAGACCATCTATGCTCTGTCCCTCACTGATGCTCATGGCACAGCACTTAATAGCTGACTGAAACCCGTACTCTTGTTCCTTTTATTCTTGGAACAGACCTGGAAAACAAGCAGGGGAGAGATTAGAATCACACCTATTCTGCAGAGCGGTCTGGGAGGGCTGGCCCTGACTGGCGGGGGGCGTCAGGGTTCGCCAACCTCTGCGCAGTGCCTTCCTCTCTCCGAGCCTCGGTCATACATCTGGAGAATTGCAGGTGTTGGCTCAGATGCTCTCTCAAGCCCCCTGCCTGCCATTCATTTCCTGCGGGCCTCTCATGCCCGTAGGCTGCTGTGAAGCCCACCTCAGCATGTCGGGTAGATTCCCCCTCACTGTGGTTCCTCGCTCTCAGTTCCCCTTCTCGTCCTGTCTTGCCTTCTTGCTTTTTCTTGGACTGGCCCCTGTGCTATGGTACATGCAAGTGCAGTTTTGGGGTGAGTGGGGGCAGGAGGGGAGCTAGCAGCCATCTGTCCTGCTTGCTGGCATTCAGGACTATCAGTCTGTGGGTCAGGGAGGGGGAGTCAGACCCAGTCCTGGTGGAGGGCTGGGGGTCTGGTAAGAGCATGACAGGCCCAGGCTGAGTCTGGAAGAGGGACTGGTTTCTAGAAGCATCTGGAGACAAGACCAGGCTTGGACAAGGAGGCCTGTATTCACAATGGGAGGTGTCTGCCTGTCTCCTCCTGTCACCTCTCATTCTAATCCCGCCTCTCGTCTCCAGCTTTCTTTGACTGACTCTCAGTTGCCACAGTCTCTCTTGGTCTGTCTGTCCATTTGCAGGGCCTGGGGGGCAAGGAACAGTGTATGCAAAAGCCTCCAAGGCAGACTTCTGTTATATTCAAAGAAAAACACATGGAGGCTCCTATTTTGGAGTTAACCACGTTTTAGCATTTACCCCTTCTTTTCATCTATTGGGACCCTCACAAAATAGAACCGGCCTCCCTTGGCGAAGTCGCATCTGTCCCTCAGATCTCCAGCCATGGTTGGGGTGTGTTCAGAAGACCACGCCCCACCGCCCCACCAGCCAGGGTGCGCTGCCAGCTGGGACCAGCAGGGGGAGCCCGCGAACAGGTTGGAGGAGGCGGGATGGAGGCGGGGCCGCGAGGCCTACTGGGCCAATAAAGGCGGCGGTGCGCGGCAGCTGCTGACTCGGCCCTCTGGGCACTAGCGACCCTCCCTTCCGTCCTCTCCGTTCGCCGGTAGATCTCTAGCTCGGACCCGCGCGCCCATGATGCTGGCGCTCCGCTGCGGCCCCCGCCTGCTCGGCCTGCTATCGGGCCCGCGCTCAGCGCACCTGCGCCTCCCCGCGGTCCGCGCTTGCAGCAGCGGCAGCGGCTCCCGCGGCCCGTCCTCTTCCTCCGGGAACCCGCTTGTGTACCTGGACGTGGGCGCTGACGGGCAGCCGCTCGGCCGCGTGGTGCTGGAGGTGAGACCACCGGGCCGGACCGCGCTGGACCGGGCCTGGGGGACGGTCCCGGAAGAGCCTTGGACCCCAGGCCGGCGCTGTGCCTGGCTCGTTGGGTGACCTTGCTTCCTGTCCCCCCCCCCCGCCCCCCCCCCCGCCCTCCCCGGGCCCTGGGCCTCAGTTTCCCCATCTCTTAAGAAGGGGCATCGGACTGGTCTCTCCAGCCCTCCCCTTCGGATCTCTGGACTAGTGGGAGCGGGAGGGAAGGCGCCTGTGGAGGAGAAAGCTCAAGGTCAGGTCGAAGGCTAGGAGGGCCGGACCTGCTGGCCGGCCGCGGAGGGGCTCCGAGACTTCACCGGGTGGGCGCCTAGGCCCGAGCTTCGAGGTGGGTGTTAGGGGGCTCAGGGGTCGGGGCGGCGGGCCGGCTGGGAGCTCACGTGGTGGCCCTTGCAGAAGGCGGAGCCGGCCCCAGCCCCGCCCCCCGCTATCGGGTAGTCAGCACAACTAGGTGTTTTGGGGTCGCCTCCTCTCCCAGCAGTTCGGGCCGGCCTGGCCGCAGGCTCCAGCCACCAGACAGACCTGTCATAGACCTCCTGGGGTCAGGGCACTGTGCTCAGAGCTCTTCGTCCCAACTCCAACCCCAGCCACCCTCCCGAGGTGAGAGCCTGCCCCAGCTCTTTGGGCCCTTTTGAAAAACAAAGCAAGAAACCTACATAGTCCAGAAAGTAACAGAGGGGAAGCTTGGGTGTAGCCTTCAAGTCCATTTTGAACAAAGGGGTCTCAGTTAAACCTCATTTCCTCTTTTGGAAAACGGAGAGCACTGGTTTCTTTTATAAGTTCTGCACCAGGGTGGCTCTTGAAACTGGGAGGCAAGAGGCAGGCTTGGATGGAGCTCCAGCCTTCTCTTTCCCCCACCCTCCTGCCTCTCTCTGAGCCTCAGTTTCCCACCTGCCCACTGGGGAGCTTGGACTATCTCCCCCCGGAGGCCACCCTCTCCAGGCCCTGGGTCTCTGATGCTTTGGGCCCAGCTGAAACAGCTCTGCCAGTTCTGCCCCCAGAAGAAGGCCAGGGTGGTGTTGTCATCTCTTCTGACAGATTGAGAAATCGAGGCTGCCCCTCCCAACCTGCAGTTCAGGAAGCAGCTGGCAGAAATGATTGCTTAGGTGGCCTCCCACGGAGGATTGTGAATGACGGAAATGGTGCTTTCCCTGGCTTCTAGGCCGTGTAGGGGGTTGGGTCCTTCCTTCACCTGCTTCTGGACTGAGCCTGTCTTCCCTCTCCTTTCCCGCAGCTGAAGGCCGACGTCGTCCCAAAGACAGCAGGTAAGACGGGGACTGGGGCCTTCTGAGTCTGGGCCACATGGAAGAGAGAGGTGCTTGGTGAGGTGGGTGGGGTGGTGAGAGGAGTCAGGGCAGGAGACCTATGGCCAGATGGGAGTACACCACCACATGTGGCTCAGCTGCTGGGGACGTTGGAGCAGCCTCTGACCCTCTCTGAGCCTCCTGGTGGAGGGTGGACTTACTTGGACTCCCTGCCCCACTGACCCAGTGCTACTCCTGCCACAGTGCTCAGATGCTGAGGTCAGCGCACAGGATGACTTGTCCCAGGTCACACAGTCAGCAGAGACCCCGGGGCAGGGGTCTTTCCATGTCCTGGGGGGTGGGTGGGTAGAGAGGGCGCTGGCTGGAACCAACTGTGGCCCCTGCACTGAGGCCTGGCCCTGCTGACCTGCTTTTTTCCTTCACCCCACCAGAGAACTTCAGAGCCCTGTGCACCGGGGAGAAGGGCTTTGGGTACAAAGGGTCTACATTCCACAGAGTGATTCCGTCCTTCATGTGCCAGGTATGGTGGGCCTCTTGCTGCCTCAACTTCTTCTTCTGTAAGTGGCATAGTGACGGGGCCACCTTGGAGAATGTCGCGGGGATTAGCCAGTGTGGTCGTGCCTGGAAAGTACTGGATGGAGGGCAACCGTGGTCATTCCCTCAGCCTGTCCTTTCCCTCTGAGAGTCTGGAGCTTGTCCTGGCAGCCATAGTGCCTTCCCTGCCCCAGGAGTTAAGCAACAGGACAAGCGGCAGGTTGACCCTGCCTGGCAGGGCCGGGAGAGTGGAGCGGCAGAGGGAGAATAGCATTGGGGTGTGGATGTGCTGGAGGCTTTGGAGTAACAGCGTATTCAGTCTCTGCCCACAGCCCCCAGTGTGTCCCACCGAGCACTCGGCATAGGAGATAAGGAGGAAGGGGAGGAGGAGGGAGGCCAGGCACAGACAAGAACCCACAGGTCCGGACTTGGAGCCTCTCTCTAGTGTAGGGCATCTTTCTCGGTTAAATGCGTTTGCTCTTTAGTCATGTGTTCGGCCTCTTTTCAGAAGCATTAGCTTTGCTGTGTTAGAAGTTTTGTGGGTAGGTGTGGCAGGCAAGAATTTCTGCCGGTGCCAGGGCCTGAGCCATGCTAAGGGTTGTCCTGTGTTAGGTCAGACCCTGCTAAGACAGGGGCTCATGTCTGAGGCCAGCAGGCCTGGAGGCAGGAGCATGGCTGTCATGACCTCTTTGAAGTCCTCTCAGCCCGGATTTCTGCCCCCAAGCTCCCCCTATCCTGACCTGATGGCTGTCATCACATTATGGTGAGTGGCATGGGTTGGGGCTGGGCCTGCTGACTTGTTGAACATGAGGAATGCGGCGATTGGCGGGGGTTGTGGCTGTGGGACAGGCCTGGCCACAGCCCGTGGCTCTCAGCTGCAGAGGCCCCCAGCTCTGCCTGAGGCTGTAGACTGAGCAGGAGCTGAAGCAGATGTCCGAGCCAGGCTAGGGTCTTCCTCTCACCACAGCAGGCAAGTGCAGGGACTCCAAAGCTGGCGGGCTCTTGGAAACATGGGATGGTGGCACTGGGAGGTCCGGTCCTCTCTGGGGACACCTTATTGGCATTTGTGGATGCTTCAGCAGGGCTGGTCCAGTCACCCCTCTCACCTGAGGAGGTTATCTCAGGAAAACAGCAATATGATGGTGGCTGGGGGCTGGGGCTGGCAGACCCTGGGCTCTTCTGTCTGCGGCTCCTTGTGGAAGCCTTGGGCGAACCATGAGGAAGACCGCCAGCCCTGGGTGGACTTTGTCCTGGGCTGGGTGAAGGGGAGATGCTGGGACAGGAAGGGGGCTCAGCGGAGGGACCTGGCTCTGCCAGCTGCTGCCGCTCCCCACAGACCACACTGGGGAGCAGGGACTCCTGGCTTCTTCCTTGTTTACCCTCCAAGAGTTGTGGGTAGAAAATTCTAGGTCACTTAAGAAGCAGCTCGAAATGGCCAAGAATTTTTAAGGATCATTGAAAATCTCACTCAGACAAAAATGAATCATTTGGGAACCAGGGTAGTTATTGGGGCAGAAAGTATTAAACCTTTATTTTGTTATTGTTTATGCTCCTTAGCATTATATTAGCCCTTCTATCATTGGGTGTTTTCTGACCCCTTTGCCTGAGGGCTCCCAGGGTGGGCCCTGGGTGCACTGGGGGCTGTGTCCCAGCATGGAAGTAGCACCCTTCTGCCAGCTTTGGTGGCGACACTCAGCCAGCGCTCCGTGTTCACAGGCCGGTGACTTCACCAACCACAACGGCACAGGGGGAAAGTCCATCTATGGAAGCCGCTTTCCTGATGAGAACTTCAAACTGAAGCATGAGGGGCCAGGTGAGTAAGGTTGCCAGTCCCCACCTGGGCAGTGTACCCTGAGCTGTGAGCCTGCCGCTGCCACCCCAGCAGGCCTGGAGGCTGCAACCTGATGGCTCCATATCTAGGGATGCACCTTCCTTTCTTAAGTGTGATGGGTGGGCTTGTTGGATTGTCCCAGAGGCTTTTTCATCCTGAGCTCTCAGTTTCAAAAACAAACCTTTCTTTGACAACCTGGGGGAGAGAGCCATTAAGCAAAGCCCTAGCATTGTGTTACCTTTAGGACCCAAGGTGCGATGTGGAAAAAGCTAGAGTTCAGAGCTGGAGGTCCTGCCCCTGCTCTACCACTGAGAGCTTCCAGGAGGCCCTTCCCTCCTGTGTTGTCAAGGCAGACAGGCCCTGGGTGGCTGTGCTCTGGGCTTGGCTCTCCTTTTCTAAGCCCCAAGTATCTTCAGCCTCAAGCATCCTTCCTGTGGTTTACGTCATCCATTCTTGAACAACTCCCAGGTAAGATGCCTCCTGGGGCAGCCTGGTCATCCTGCTTGTTTTTGCAGGTGTCCTGTCCATGGCCAATGCGGGCCCCAACACCAACGGCTCCCAGTTCTTCATTTGTACCACAAAGACAGACTGGTGAGTTGCTGGCTCCTGGTCCAGGCCCTCCGGGAAGCAGGGCTGGCCTTGAGCTGGAGGGGGAGGTTTAGTTTGAGGCCAAATTCTCTGCTCTGGGGCAGTTGCCCTCACCCGGCTGAGTGTGTAAGAGGAGCAAGTCCCTGAAAGGACTGAGGAAGAATTTGGGATATTTTGCAACTCTGTCTTTTATCAGGCTTCCCATTGTTGCTGTAGCTGGAATTTCTCAGTGTTCTGAGCATGCACATGCGCGCACACACACACGTACACACAGGAAAGAATTCTTTTACCAAATACACTGGGGAAATGCTGCAGAACTTACCAGGCCTCAGGATGGCCTGTGGCAGAAGCCTGCTCACTTGGTTTAACCTGGCGTTTCCCAGCTTATTTGATCTTGGGCTGCACCTTGGAAAATGCTGCAGTAGAAAGCATTTGGATATCACACCGGGTTTCTCATCAGGCATTAGTACCAGCCTGTGGCAGCCACCAGCCCCCCGGAACCCTCTTTTCCATTGCCCTTGTATTTTAGGGATGTCTTCCCAGGTCAGTTTTCCCACTATCTAATCAGTTTTCTCTGCCCAGATTTCCCTGTGTCCTCACCCTGAGGCATCTCAGCTAGGTGAGGGGACAACAGCTGGCCTGGAGCTAAGACTTAATAAAGCCCATTTCCAAGGACTTTAGGGAGACCCAGGTGGTAGTGGATACTAGTGGTCTGTAGCCTCTGAGTCAGAAGGGACACAGATGTCGGAGTGGGCAGGTTGTTGCTGGCCCTGCCTGCCCTCCATCTGTGAGACCCCTGGTGGATCCCGAAGTGTAACCAGTCTTGGTTGGTGGCCCTGAACTGAGCTGCCTTTTAGATTCTCGGGACTCTCTTAGATTGAGAGCTGCTTGGGACTTGTGTAGGTTCACCATACATATCATCTTGGCTCTCACCTCAGAATTCCTGACTGTTAAGACGCTTCCATAAGGGCCTTCCCTGGTGCTCCAGTGGTTGAGTTCACCTTCTGATACAGGGGGTATGGGTTTAATCCCTGGTCAGGGAGTTCATATCCCACATGCCTCGTGTCCAAAAAAAAAAAAAAAACCCCCAAACCCAAAACATAAATAAATCCCAGAAACAATATTGTAACAAATTCAATAAAGACTTAAAAAAATGGTCCACATCAAAAAACAAACAAACAAACTTAAAAAAAAAAGATTCCATTTACACAGACTTATTTCTTCAGAGTAGTTCAGTATCCTATCATCTCCCTGTGCAGGATGAGAATAACTCACTCTTTGTAGGTGAGGTTGCCAGGATTCAGGTTGAGTGGCCCGGGCCGAAGTCGCCCAGCAGGTGAGGCAGAACACAGCCTGGGAGGGAAGCATCCTCTGGCGTGTGCTGGGGGTCTCAGCAAGGCTCCACACGGGACCTGCGAGAGGTTGGGCCAGCTTTTCGGTCTGAGTTCCTTTCAGAACTGCTGTTTTCGGTAAATAGTTCCATGACCGTGGGACCGTTACCCTAGGTGACATTGTAGCACTCTCCTTTCTGCTTACCTGGCTCCCTTCTCCCAGGCTGGATGGCAGACATGTTGTGTTTGGCCATGTGAAAGAGGGCATGGACGTCGTGAAGAAGATAGAATCTTTCGGCTCCAAGAGTGGGAAGACATCCAAGAAGATCGTCATCACAGACTGCGGCCAGTTGAGCTGACCCTGTGTGCTTCCAGGAGGCCTCTCAGGAATGTCAGACCCCACAGGACCCACCGGGCAGCTTCCCCAGCGCCCTCCCTTCCCCAGTGCCCCGTTTCTGGACACCCATTGTAGACACAGGGTCACCGCTCCTCATAGACATCGCCTGTGACTGCCTGGCTCAAGTTCACCTGTGCCTCAGGCACACATGATGGGTTAGCTTTGAAGGCGGTTTCTGCCTCTTCTTTGGCCACAGGGGAAAGGCAGTTGCTATAAAGGGCTGTCATATCTGTTTAATATTGTCTTTCTGATCAGAATAGTTTCACAAGACTCCCTGGAGCTGAAGCTGTGACACTAACTACTCCAGGCTGTGGTGTGACCTGAGTTGGTGGCACAGGCCACAGAGCTCGGCCTTTGGAGCACATCCAGGCCTTTGTGACGGTCCCACAGCTGAGGCCTTTAATCCCAGCCACTGTGAATCCCGTTGGTTTGCTGCTCTTGTATTTGGGGAGAGCCCGTGGGGGTGGAAGCAGCTGAACCGGGGGACAGACCTACTGCAAGCTGTGCCTTGTCAATGTGAATTCCCAAGTTGAAAATAGAAATAACCTCTAAGTGCTATCTATGTGCTCTGGAAGGAAGTCAAAATGTATTTTCCTGGTGGGCTTTGATTTGTTTTTCCTGTGTGTTTAATAAATTAACCTATTGACTATGTACACAATATACTTTTGGAAAATTTCTTTATGTTCACCTTAAATGTGAAAATAAATCCTATTTTCTATAAAAAACTGGTGTCCTTGCCTTTAGCGAGCACTGTCTATAACACAAGTGTTTGGAGCCAGCGTTTATTGTTAACTGCTGTTATTCTGTGTTCTTCGGAGGGCCTTTACATGGACTTGAACGCAGTCCACCAGCTATCTCTGAGGGTATTCTTGTCATCCTGTTTAAGAGAAGAGGAAACAGGCTCAGACAAACTCTCTCAGCATCCACAGCCCACTCGAGAGCCCTGGCGTGCCTCTGGGTGACTGAGCCTCAGTTTTGCTCAGCAGAGTAATGGGATAACAGTGCCCAGCTCACAGGGTGTTGAAGGTTGGACGTGATCTGTGTCAAGTACACAACATGGGCCTTGGCATGTGGTCTGGAGGGACAAGGGCAGCATTTCTGGTGTGTCTGGGTCTTAGAAAAGAAGGAGCTGTGATTATGTCGGACTAGATGTGGACTTTACTTCCCTCTGTGCCATTTAAATTTGGAGTTAAATTACAGGTATTTCTAAATTCGCAGGGAGGGCAGATTGAGGGGTGGGAAGAGAGTAAGAACTTCCTTAAACAGCCAGGGGAGGACAGTCTGAATAATAGAAGAATCACAAGATGATTAGCATTGCCTCACCTTGGAGTTCCCCAAGTGTGATGGTCTGTGGTCCCAGATCCTTGTAGTCATTCTCAGCTCACCATGGCTGGACTTTCTATAGTGGCTCAGCGGATAATCTGCCTGGCAATGCAGGAGACTTGGGTTCAATTCCTGGGCTGGGAAAATCCTCTGGAGAAGGAAATGGCAACCCATTCCAGTATTCTTGCCAGGATAATCCCTTGGACAGGAGCCTGGTGGGCTACAGTGCATGGGGTCACAAAAGAGTTGGACATGACTTAGCAACTAAGAGCAAGAAATAAGTAGAGGATTTGGGTCATTAGAGTCATGGAGAGTTTCTGTGAAGTCAGTTCAGCTATATGGGCTGGGAACTCAGCTCATCTAGTAGTTCTCAAACAGCTCTCATAGAGCCTTGAAGCGTCCTCCGACATGAGCATGGGCCCCTGAACCTCCTTTCAATTGTTCAGTTGCTAATTCGTGTCTTGACTCTGCAACCCCATGGACTGCAGCATGCCAAGATTCCCTGTCCTTCACTATCTTCTGGGGTTTACTCAAACTCATGTCCATTGAGTTGATGATACCATCCAACTATTTTATCCTCTGTCATCCCCTTCTCTTCCTGCCCTCAATCTCTCCCAGCATCAGGGTCTTTTCCAATGGGTGGGCTCTTCACATCAGGTGGTCTTTCAATCATAGATACCCTCTTATGTTTTCTAAAAGGAATTTCATTTGAAGAGTGGGATCTTGAGCCAAGTGTCAATAACAGTTATTGCTCAGTCCATCCAGCGTTTTATAAATGGGTAAACTGAGGCTGCCGGAGAGGTCATGGTTGCCAAGGTGACTTCCTGAGTCAGTTGGCAGAGGAGGGACTAGAATCCTGGACCTGACAGACCAGATGGCTTTCTGTGGGAGGCGTTTCCACAGACCCCCTTTGTCTTCAGATCACACACATTCAGAGCTCTTTGAATTTCTTAGGTCAAAGCCAAGATTTCAGTCCCTGTGGTTTCCTTTTGACCTCTGGGGATTCTGGGAGGCAGTGGTGCTGTTGACAAGTGTGAGGGCCAGCCCCTTGAGGTTTGACCGCTGGACCCCTGGTGACTTCTGAGGGGTCGCAGGGTCACAGAGCCTGTGGGGCATGTGTTCAGTTCAGAGAGCATTTCCTTTTTGACAAGGAGGAAGCATATGTGTATGTGAGTGTGTGTGTGTGCGTGTCGCGCCCATGCAGAGGAGTATGTATGTGTGTGTCCCTCCCATGCGGAGGAGTCTAGTGTCGGGTAGGGGACGAAAGTATTCAGGAATTTCCTAAAAACATAATTTCCCAAAGATGGGAAGAGTTTCCTAGAACTCTTGCACAAGATCCCAAATGGTCTTACTATACAAAGCAGAGCCTACGCAACAGACAAATTAAGATACTTACTTGTTGCTGGGGCACAGTGCCTAGTGCCTGAAGGAAACAGTGAGCCATACACGCGCTCTCACAGATGGAATCGTATGTGGACGTCATGTAAACACGTGCTTAAATATCTGAAATAGCAGTTTTCTGAGACAATACAGGAGAGCTTTTCGAACTGACTTAACTGAACCTTCAAACCATGACATTTTTGCACCTTGTTTTACATCCCTGGATATGTTCCAGTGCCTTCTGGCTTATAGTCTATGGGAACTTGAATAGAATTAGTATTCTGCTGTTGTGTGAAAATTGTATAAATCTTAATTATGTTGAGTTGGTTCACAGTGCTTTTCAGGTCTACTATATCCTTATACTTATTTATTATCTTTATCCTTATTTATTCTGTTAATTTTTGAGAGTTTGATATTGAAACTCCAACTAAAAAAATCTTAATTTATCGACTTAAAAATATTGTAATATATAGTGGAACTATATGTAACTTTGTATTCTCCAAGCATCCTGTAAATATGTTATAATGCTTTCATAATTTAAAAACTAAAAAAATTATAAAAGCTAAAAAATGACTTCATTGAGGTATAATTTACCTGCAATAAAATTCACACATTTTAAATATACAGATCAATGACTTGACAAATTCATACACTGAGTAATCGCCACCAAATTAAATTAAAAACATATCTCCATAAAGAGATGGAGAGCTTCCATCTCTCCAGAAATCTACCTCTGTGCCTGATCCCAGTAACCCAGTGATTCTGTCTCTGTGGATACATTTTACCTGTTCTAGAACTTGGCAGAAATGGAATCCTACAAGATTTACTTTTTATGTCTGACTTCTTTTGTGTAGCATGTATGAGGATGTGGGAGAATTTAACACACGGCTAGGCTTTATAGAATGTTGCTCCATGAAAAGGAATGTCAGCCAGTGCTTTCAAGGTCTGGTAAGGTCTAAAGCAATGCTTCTCCTAGGAATCATGCAGCGCTGGGAAAGCATGCAGATTCCCAGGCCATGGCTGAGACCTGTGGAATACCACTTTCTGAGGGTGGAATCTAAGAATCTGGATTTTCAGATAATAATTCAACTAAAGATTGAGAATTCGTAGGTGAGAGCGGGGCAAGACTGAAAAGGGAGACCACCAGACCACTAGAGTCATGGTTGACTTGTGAGACATTATTCACTGTGTGCTCCGGGAATCTGGAGTAAGACCCTCCACCTGTAAAAGATGCTTCACTTGAGTTTCCAGGTGGAAACTCTTGGATGATGTGTAGGGCAGCCTGTTCAGCCAAGCTTTGTGGGGACTGGTGGCTTGGGTGGGCCCAGACAGGAGAAAATTTCTCAGAGAACAGCTCCTGGAGGCCACGAGTCAGATCTGTGTCTGAGGTCCAGTGGAATAGGGTGAATAGAGAAAATCTTGGTTCCATGCTGAGTGTTCTGATGGCTCCATTTATCTGGAAAAACACTGAATTATATACTTCAGGTGGATGAATTGTATGACATGTGAACAATATCACAATAAATCTGCTTAGAGATATGTGATATAAAGTCTCAGAATTCTTTGCGTGTACAAGCTGTTTCTCTGAAGTTCTGTCGCTCTGGAAAATGCTGAGATTTGAGCTGGTGATGGAAGTGGTTTGGTTGGTCTTGGGTATTACCTTTCAAAGCACCCGACCACGGTGAAGTCTGTTCTTCCCAGACACAGAAGGGCAGGCTACTTGCACAAGCGAGAGGGGAATGGAGTGACTGGAGGGTTCAAGTTGTTAGGTTCATTTGGACCCAAACAGATGTTCCCCATCACGAACTTCAGGATCCAATTCTTTTCCACTGACGCCCTTCACATCAAAGCCTTAGCGAGACTGTGAATTCAAACGATACTGTAATTCAGCTGCTTACACAATTACATTTTTGTTCGATTTTAAGTGATGTCAGTCCATTTCTATAAGAAATGAAAGATGTTTTTGAGTTGTCACGGAAGCTCTCTGGTTCTCAGACCTGCACATAAGCCGAGAATTAAAGGACGTGTTTGTCATTTTCTTTTGGTGAACAGTCAAGCGTGCTCAAAATAGTTCACCCCACAGTCTAGTCCTTACTGTCATGGCTCCTGCCGTGACCCTCACGTGTGCAGCCACCTGGTTTCCCAAGGCACGTGCTTCCCGTCACTTAACCGCAGGTCACAGCACTGCGGAGCCACGGCATGCCATGCATCATCATCATCCCACTTCCTATTGTTCAGCCATGCCTTCAGGCACAACGG